CAGAAGGGTCCCAGGAGCTGACTCAGAGAGGAGTGGGGGGCAACCTGCGCTGGGGAGGGAGCACTGAGGCTGCCCGGGGCCGGACACGGATCTGGAGAGGAGCCCCCGGGCCAGGCTGAAAGGAATCAGTCGTGCAGTGACTGCGGGTGGTGGGCCGAGAAGGCTACCCCTGGGTGGGGTGGGGGGCTGCTGGCCTGGAAGGATGGCAGGAAGCCATGCCCAAGGCTGGCCGGGAACCCTAGGAGGAGCCAAACCCAGTTGCCAGCAGCTCTGGGAAACCCAGACCCAGCGGCACCCCGCAAGCCCTTGTTTTCCTAGCCCTGGTGAAATGAACCATCCTTCAAGCAGTCACTAGCAAATAAACACCATCCGGCGTGGCTTGCAGTCTGGAGAGACTGGAATTTGAGCCTGGCCAGCTCTCCCATCCCACGTGGGGAAGACTCACTAGTGCAGCCTGTAGTGGGTGCCTGGGACACGTGCGGATTGAGTCTGGGGCGAGCTGAGGCCCAGCCTGGAATCGTCTCCCACGCTCCCCCTCTGGGAATGCTGAAGAGCCTGTCTCTGGGCTCCCTGAGTTAGACCTGAGCCCCTTGGACTGCAAGGAGATCAAACCAGTCCATCCTAAAGAAATCAACCCCGAACATTCCCTGAAGGACTGATGCTGAAGCTCCAAAACTTCGGCCACCTGATGGGAAGAGCTGACTCGTTGGAAAAGACACTGATTCTGGGAAAGATTGAGGGCAAGAGGAGAAGGGGGATGACGGAGGATGAGATGGTTGGATGACATCACCGACTCAATGGACATGAGTTTGAGCAAATTCTGGGAGATGGTGAAGAACAGGGAAGACTGGTGTGCTGCAGTCAGTGGGGTTGCAAAGAGTTGGACACAACTTAGTGACTGAACAACAGCAGAGTTAAATCCCACTCTGGGGCTGGAAGTACCAGGATACCCACCCCCAGCCTCACCTTCACACCCAGCCGCGGAACTCACAGAAGCCTTGCTGCTCCTGGTGGCCAGGTCCGGCACTGCATGCCTCCAAGAGCACTGGCTTTGGCCGGGTCCCGTGGGTGGCACAGTAGGCACTCAGGTCCCCAGGCAGAGTGTCCGGGACTCCAGCAACAGGGGGTGCAAGTGGCACAGATAAGTCCCCAGGCCACCCCCTCCAGGCACCAGGAGGCTGTGGGTGAGCAGGGGGCCACTTACAGCCAGGCGTGAGGGTCCCTGCCGACATCTGAGGACCCATCCCATCCGCAAGAGTCTCCCTCCCTGCAGCCCCGCAAGCTAACGTGGGACACCTCAATTTCACGCGAGAGGGGACCGAAGCTCAGAGAAGTCCAGCAAGTAGGCTAAGGTCACAGAGCATGTAAGTGGTGGCAGGTGGAATTTGAATTGGCCTTGTCCCTCCTCCAGAGCCGTTACTGGCCACTCCCTCCCCCTGGAAGAGCAGGCGCTCAGGTAGCACAAGTCCCCCGTGAGCTCAGGCTTTACCGGGAGGGGAAGTGGGTCAGGTAGATGCACCCCTCGGATGCACAAGGCCCTCCAGCTGGGGGTGGGTGGGCAGCATGATGCAGGGTGCTGAGGCTGGAAGGTGGGTGCCACCGCGGGACAGCCTGGCTTCAGGTGAAGCTTTCCATATCACGTCAGTTACTTTGAAGAGCGATTCTTTCCTGTTTATCACTGCTGTGCCTCTCCCCCCCAACCCCGAGTGGCCTGGAACCTAGACTCCTGATTCCTTGGTCCCCAGTCTAAGTGTTCCGGGGCACCCTAGCTCAGGAAGTGAGACATCACAGGTACAAGGGAGGCTGCAGCTGCGAGGAGGGCTGGGAGCCCACCCCTCCATCCTCCTGTGTCTGCTCACCCTTGCTGCAGATCCAGACACTCTGCATTCTGCCCCAAGCTTGCTCTACCACCACTAGCGATTCCTTGCCTTGAGTGTGGCTACTGAAATAGCTTCCCAGAAGAGACAGTATGGAGGCGTGGAAAGAAAAGCAGAAAAGTGACATCTGAATCCAGGCTCGGCCCCTTCTGGGCCAGGAGACCTCAGACAAGCCCCTTGGGTCATGGATACTCTTGTCTCAGGTGGGAAGTTACACTGGTCTCTGGGAATTGTTCTAGCTCAGACTTGCTCTCGAGGAATTACNCCTTCTGGGCCAGGAGACCTCAGACAAGCCCCTTGGGTCATGGATACTCTTGTCTCAGGTGGGAAGTTACACTGGTCTCTGGGAATTGTTCTAGCTCAGACTTGCTCTCGAGGAATTACTGGAGCTTCCAGATGCACAGGGTAAGACAAAATGGATTGTCTCTGACCTTCCATCTGCAAGATTGGGCAGGGCGGACGCCCCACTTCCTCTCTCCAGCTCCAAGACTCTCACGCACACCACACACACAAACACCTACAAGCACATGCATACGTACGTACAGACCGAACATACGTACAGACCGAACATACTTACAAACTGAACATACGTACAGACTGAACATACTTACAGACCGAACATATGTACAGACCGAACATACTTACAGACTGAACATACGTACAGACTGAACATACTTACAGACCGAACATACTTACAGACCGAACATACGTACATATGAGGGCACACACACACAGCACGCACACACATGCACGCATACACTCCAGAAACCCTCAGACTAAGAAAATGAAAACAGAGAATGCATATTCCTGGAAAGCCAGGTTTTTCTGTTTGTTTTTAAAAATTTATTTGGCTGAACTGGATCTTAGTTGCAGCATGCAAGCTCTCTAGTTTCGACATGTGAACTCTCAGTTGCAGCATATGGGATCTAATTCCCTGACCAGGCTCTCTCCACTGGGAGCTTGGAGTCTCGGCCACTGGACCAGCAGGGCAGTCCCTGAAAAGTGAGTTTTTCAATCAGTAGAGGAGTTTCAGGGATGACAAGTTAGAGCCAGAAGAGGTGAGGCCTCTCAGAGGTGGGGAGTCAGAGGTGACCCTCTTGTCTCCTGGGTAACCTGGACCCTCCCCAGTTCCTGCACACTTGAAAGGCCGTCTGTCTAAGTCTAGCGGGTGGAGCTTAGCTGGGGGTGTACATGACCATCGTCAAGATACTAAGAAGACGCAGGTGCCCTGGCTTCTACGTGGAGGGTGGGAGATTCCAGCGCAGTGGGTCATACTTCTGAGCCTCAAGGAGACTTTCTTACTGAAAGACCATTTTCTGACTAGTGGGTTCTCTCAGCATCATCTTTGTAAAAAATCATCAATAACATCCTATTGAAAGGCACTGGCCCTGACCCCCCCCCCACCCCCGCCTTCACACTGAGGCTCTGTCTTGTTGGATTGGGTCAGGGAGGTGGTGCCCCTGGGAAGGGCAGGCGCGCAGCCAGTGGGCAGAGGGTGGCGAATCTGGATGAAGGGAGCCGGGCGTGAAGGTCGGGACAGCCGGGAGGGGCTTCCGCTGGGCCGCACAGCTGTGCCTCTGCCAACCCGGACGAGGCAGGTGCCAGACCCAATTCCAGCTCTCTCTGTGGCTCCAGAGAGGGGTGGGGGGTGGAGCTGTTGGGTTTCTCTGTGCCAGCCTGGGGCAGAGATCAATGCATTGAGCCGGTCCCTGGGATTCAGAGAGCAAGGGCGGGCGGGCTCTGACCCAGCCCCAGTGAAGGACCCGGCCTCGGGAGAAACACTAAGCTGGATCTCCCCGGAGCACCGCCCACCCCCTATCAACTTGGAAGGACTCCCTCCAGTGAGGATCTGGGCCAGGCCCTACCTGCTCCTAGAAAAGGTGAGGCCCCACCAGTGCCGCCCACCCACCCCTCTGGGCTCCAGACCCCACCCTCTTCTCACTATTCCTTTATCCTTAGAAGAGCTCTCCCCTACTAACCCAGCTGACACTGTCCCCTGGCTGTCTGCCTCAGTGTCTCCGACTGTCAGGGTGGATCCAGGCTCTGCTGTGTGTCTCCTTGCAGCTTTTATTATTAATATTATTTGACCGCACCAGGTCTTAGCCACAGCAAGCCAGACCTTAGTTGCCTGATCAGAGATGGAACCCAGCCCCCCTGCCTTGGGAGCATGGAGTCTTAACCACTGGACCACCAGGGAAGCCCCCTCCTTGGAACTTTGAGATGGGAAAAATTACAGTAGGAAGTTGGACAGAAGCTGGTAAGAGAAAGCTTCCAAGGAGGTGAACCAAGAGACCTGAGACCACTTGAGAAGGTGAATTAGAGGAAGGTGCCAGGGCAGCTCCTGATCAGACAACGGGTGGGATGCCTGTGGGGGACCAGCCTCAAGTGAGGCAGCCAGCCCGGTTCTGGGTGGGGGTGCTCCGGGGCAGGGGTGCAAAGGCTGGGGTGCAGCTGCTCTATGCCCAGCCCTGCCATCCTAGCTCACCTTGACCTGGCGGGGTGGGGGGTGTGATGGCCATAGTCCCCATGTCCCTAAGGCCCACCACCCTCCTCAGAGCACGCCAGGAACATTCTTCAATGCACGACATCAAAGTGACATCAGCTACCCCACAGCCCCTACTTAGAGCCCTGTCCTCTTTTCTGGAGCGCTAGCCCACCCCAACTCGGGAGGGGGAGGGGCGGGGCCTGGGCTGCTGCCTCCTCCTGTTCCAGGCCCTTCCTTCGCACTCCTTGGCTCACCATGGTGCTCCGGCCGGGATGCTGCCAAGCGTATTCTGTGCCAGGGCGGGTCCCTCCGGACTGGTGGCTGCCTCTGGTTCTGGAGCCCTTTGCCTGCCCTTTGGAGAGCCTTCGGCTTCCCAGGAGAGGAGTGACTAGCTATGCCGGGTGGTAAGAGATGTGGGGGAGGCTGCCGGATCTGGTCCCCTCAGGGGCCCGAGGGCAGCACAATAGCGCCTGGGGCGCCCGCTCTCCGGCTCAACTGGTTGCCTGGGTAACAGCTGGGGCCAGTTTCCACCAATCCAAGGCAGAGGCTGGGTTGGGGGAGGGAAGCCACCCAGGAAAGGGGGCTGGATCCTATATAAGGAGGGTTAGGATGTGTGCGGAGCAGTCTGGGCTCTGCTATTCCTCCCGTGGGCTTGGGGGCAGGATACAGAGATGCGCAGGCTGGGCTCTGCCAAGCCCAGGCCCTGGGCCTGCTTCTGGGCCATGCTGACCTTGGTGGGGATGGTCACTCGTGCAGGTGAGTGGGCAGTGGGCAGAGAGAAGGGGCAGGACCTTCGGGCTCCAACTGCCCATGGCCAGGAGGGGGCGGTGTCCAGCCGGCAGGGCTGGGCACAGAGTTGATTTGATCATGCAGCTCCGTGGAGAAGGGTAGCCAGCCTCTGAGGGCAGGAGGGCTGGGCAGGCGGGCGGGCGGGCAGGGGGCTTAACCACAGGAAGACCCTTCTACTGTCCAGTGTCCCTGGCAGCTGGGCCCAGGCTGGGGAGAGTGGGAGCCATCAGCGTTCGGAGCCTTCACAGTGACAGCTTGGGGGATGGCGGGGCTGGAAAATAACCAGAGTTCCTTTCTCACCCTTTCTCACGCCCTCTGTCTCTCTCTTACTCATACACAGAGGCTCTGCTTTCCTGAGAGCCTCCTCAAGAGTCCACGTGGACCCTGGGACTGTGTGTGTGTAGGCGTGTGCACCCATATAGGCATGGGGGGGTGGAGGTATGGGGGTACCCCTTTGCTCCCCTCGACGCCTCAGTCCGTGCTCCACTTGGGGAAGCTGCTGGCAGTGCTTTCTGTCACTCAGTTTTCCATCCGTGAGCACATGTCCCCGTCTGACCCTCACGGTGTCCCTGGAAACAGGAGAAGGGGGTCCGGTGTGGCTCGCCTGGAAGCAGGAGGATGCCAGTCCCAAGGCGCAGGTGCCCAAGAGTCCTGTCCAGGACCCGCTGGCTCTGTGCTTTCTCGGGTCCCCTAGGAGGCCAGTGTAGACCCCTGCCTCCCAGATCAGGATCCAGGAGGGCGGCTGGGCCTGGGCCCCCCACCCCCAAGCTGCAGCCCCCTCCCCTGCTCTGCCCCTCGCCTCCCACTCAGAACTTGGGCAGATCCTCTCCGCCTTCCCAGCACCAAGCCCAGCCTCTCCCAGGGCCTCGGGCGGGCCCCTTATCACTTCCTCAGGGAGCCTGTCTCAGATTCCTGCACCTATAGGAGCCGACACCCCACTACCATCACCTCCCTTACTGGTCACAGCCTAAAACCAGAGCGCTTATTTGTTGCTTATTTGTATTTATTGCCTAAGAAGCTACATTGTGCTTTTATAAGTTTAAGGAGCTGGTTTGTTTTGTTCACTGTGCTGGTCTGAGCTCCCAGGGGAGCGTCTGGCTTATTGTAAGTGCTCAATAGATTATTTGCTGGGGAATGCACTGCTTTGCGGAGAAGGCAATGGCACCCCGCTCCAGTACTCTTGCCTGGAAAATCCCATGGATGGAGGAGCCTGGTGGGCTGCAGTCCATGGGGTCACGAAGAGTTGGACACGACTGAGTGACTTCCCTTTCACTTTTCACTTTCATGCATTGGAGAAGGAAATGGCAACCCACTCCAGTGTTCTTGCCTAGAGAATCCCAGGGATGGGGGAGCCTGGTGGGCTGCCGTCTATGGGGTCGCACAGAGTCGGACACGACTGAAGCGACTTAGCAGCAGCAGCAGCAGCACCGCTTTGGGCCAACGTTTCTCTTCCGAGGGGTAAGGTGGGCAGTTCTTCAGGAGGTAAGGGGGTGGGGACCAAGAGGTTCCTCAACCCTGGCCTAGGGGTCTGGCATCATGGAGGTCAGCTCTAGACATTAAAATTTTTTTATTTTTGGACGTGCTGGGTCTCTGTTGCTGTGCGGGCTTTTTTCTACTTGCCGCAAGCAGGGGCTTCTCTTCGTCGAGGTGCACGGGCTTCTCACTGCGGTGGCTTCTCTGGTTGCAGACCTCGGGCTCAGTAGTTTCAGCTCCCCAGCTCTGGAGCAGAGACTCAATAGTTGTGGAGCACAGGCTTAGTTGCTCTGTGGCACATGGTGTCTTCCCAGGTCAGGGATCAAACCTGTGTCTCCTGCGTGGGCAGGCAGGATTTTTACCACCAGGGAAGTCCAGCTCTGGACATTTTGTCCCATCCTGATTCATGACCTCTCCCTGCCGGGAATCCGCCCTCCCCCCCCCACCGCCCCTTCCAAGAGCATCTTCTCTGGGTCTGCTCAGGGTCAGGTTCACGAATTTCCCCGTCCAGGATGTGCTCCTGTACACACACACGCATCCACGCACTTCAGGCACAAACAGGGGAGTACACAGCCTCCCCAGGCTTCCCCACATCCAACCACAGGCATCTCCAGCTGGTCTGTCTGCAACCCCAGAAGGCTGCCCTCTCAGGCTGCTCTGTGTTCCTTCCGGCTGCAGCCCAGAAAGCCGATGTCGGCGGGGAGTCAGCGGGCACCTCCATCAACCACTCCCAGATGCTGCTCCAGCGCCTGCAGGAACTGCTGCGGCAGGGGAATGCCAGCGATGTGGTGCTGCGGGTGCAGGCTGTGGGCACTGACGAGGTCCGAGTTTTCCACGTCCACCGCCTGCTGCTGGGACTGCACAGTGAGCAGTTCCGGGAGCTGCTGAGTAACCAGAGCGAGGTGGTGCTGCAGGAGCCCCGGGACTGTGCTGCCGTCTTCGACAAGTTTATCAGGTGGGGAAGGATGAGGGGAATATGTCATCCCTTTCCACGTCCCTGGCTTCTCCACTCACAGGGTGACGGAACCCTGGTTCTTAGCCCTGCCCCTTCCCTGGATGGCATTAGGATGACCACGCAACCACCTCCCTCTTCCCCCTTCCCACCAGCTTCTTGCAAAATGCAGCATGACTCCCCTTCCTGAAAGCTCTGACTGGTTTAAAGTTAGTTACCAAATACTCTCAAAGCTGTTTCCAAACCTGGCCTTGAGAGCTTTTAAAAACTATAGACTTCTGAACCCCACCCTGTATCCCGAGCTTTGTATCTAGGGCTGGGCCGAACTGTTGTTTCTTATTTTAATGTCTCTGTGTGGTTCTGCTTTCTGTCCAGGTTTTGAACCACAGGGCTAGGGGGCTGCTTCCTGCTAGCGTGCTGCACAGGGACACTGTCCACACTCTAGTCTGAGAAAGTGGCCCTGCTTTAATAGCTTAGGTAAGAGGCTGCAGAATATCGGTCATTTCTTCCAACTTCCAGGCAACAGGAAGAGGGATAGCACAGAAGGACAAAAGCATCTTTCCTCTACCCCCTAACTGGGAAGGACTGAAGGCAGGAGGAGAAGGGGACGACAGAGGATGAGATAGTTGAATGGCATCACTGACTCAATGGACAAGAGTTTGAACAAGCTCCAGGAGATGATGAAGGACAGGGAAGCCTGGCGTGCTGCAGTCTATGGGGTCGCAAAGAGCCGGACAGGACAGAGACACTGAGCAACAGTAACCTCTACCCTAGTCAGTTCTATTTAACCAGCCTTCCCCCAATCCCAGTCCATGCCTTTGCAGATATCTCATTGGCTAGAATTTAGTCACACGACCACACTCACTATAAGGGATCCTGGGAAACATCTTTTGTTTCCAGAGGCAAACAGCGAAGTTAAATGGCTTGCCCACTCTCACAGCAAGTAACTGGCAGAACATGAATCCGAACCCACACTGTAAACCTGCAAAGGTAGGAGCTGCATCTTTCTTGTTCTAGCACAGAACTCAGACCCTTAGTGGGTGCCCAGCCAGCTAAGTCCTGTCGACTCTGCGACCCCATGGACTGTCGCCCACCAGGCTCATGTGTCCATGGGATTTCCCAGGCAAGAATACTGGAGGGGGTTGCCATTTCCTCCTCCGGGGGATTTTCCTGTCCCAGGGACAGAACCTGCGTCTCCTGCATTGGCAGGAGGATGCTTCACCACCTAGCCACCTGTGCTCAATAAATGCATGCTTATTTCCACACCCCACAAGAAACCAGAAAGAAGAGGCGGTGAGGTAGGATGCGCGCGGGAAGGTCCTTCTGTTGGCTCCACTAGGGACGATGCTGCCTGCCCAAGGCCGGGTACCCTCGGGACTCAGGAGGCGGCGCGGGGCAGGGTAACAGTGGGCCCGCCCTGACCGCGCTCCATCTCTGCACCTCTCCGGCAGGTACCTCTACTGCGGCGAGCTGACCGTGCTGCTGGCACAGGCCATCCCCCTGCACCAGCTGGCCACCAAGTACCGCGTGGCCTCCTTGCAGCGGGGCGTGGCCGACTACATGCGCGCGCACCTGGCGGGCGGCGCGGGCCCGGCGGTGGGCTGGTACCACTATGCGGTGAGCACTGGAGACGAGGCCCTGCGCCAGAGCTGCCTGCAGTTCCTGGCCTGGAACCTGTCGGCCGTGGCGGGGAGCGCCGAGTGGGGCGCCGTGAGCCCTGAGCTGCTGGCGCGGCTGCTGCCGCGCTCGGACCTCGTGCTGCAGGACGAGCTGGAGCTGTTCCAGGCGCTGGAGGCGTGGCTGGGCCGCGCGCGGCCGCCGCCGGCCGTGGCCGAGCGCGCGCTGCGCGCCATCCGCTACCCCATGATCCCTCCGGCGCAGCTGTTCCAGCTGCAGGCGCGCTCGGCTGCCCTGGCGCGCCACGGCCCGGCGGTGGCCGACCTGCTGCTGCAGGCCTACCAGTTCCACGCCGCCTCGCCGCTGCACTACGCCAAGTTCTTCGACGTCAACGGCAGCGCCTTCCTGCCCCGCAACTACCTCGCGCCCGCCTGGGGCGCCCCGTGGGTCATCAACAACCCGGCCCGTGACGACCGCAGTACCAGCTTCCAGACGCAGCTGGGCCCGAGCGGCCACGACTCGGGCCGCCGGGTCACCTGGAACGTGCTTTTCTCGCCGCGCTGGCTGCCGGTCAGCCTGCGGCCCGTCTACGCGGACGCCGCGGGCACCGCGCTGCCCCTCGCACGCCCCGAGGACGGCCGGCCGCGGCTGGTGGTCACACCGGCCAGCAGCGGCGGCGACGCGGCAGGCGTGAGCTTCCAGAAAACCGTGCTGGTGGGGGCGCGCCAACACGGCCGCCTTCTGGTCCGCCACGCCTACAGCTTCCACCAGAGCAGCGAGGAGGCCGGCGACTTCCTGGCGCACGCCGACCTGCAGCGGCGCAACTCCGAGTACCTGGTGGAGAATGCCCTGCATCTCCACCTCATCGTCAAGCCCGTCTATCACACCCTCATCCGGACCCCCAAGTAGCCAAGCGGGCCGGGGCAGGGAGCTCAGCATCCCTGACGCCTCTGGATCAGGAAAATAAAGGCCCAGTAGAGATGGCGCAGAGGGACTGGGAGTAGCATGACCAGTGGAGGTGTCTAACCCGGCCTGCTGGGTGACCAGGCGCTGGCGGCCTTAGAGTTGGGTGGAAGCCAGGCGATGGGTGGTAGACCAGATGCCTGATTTCAGGAGCTGCTTTCACATTGACTTGAAAGTGAGGTTCTTGGTATTGTGTGTATATATGCTCAGTTGCATTCCACTCTTTGCCATCTCATGGACTGTAGCCCAGCAGGCTCCTCTGCCCATGGAATTTTTTAGGCAAGAATACCGGAGGGGGATGCCATTTCCTCCTGCAGGGGATCTTCCCAACCTAGGAATCAAACCCATGTCTCTTGCATCTCCTGCATTAGCAAGTGGATTCTTTATCACCAGCACCACATGGGAAGCCAATGCTCTTGGTGTAGAATAAACCAGTGCTCTGAGCGGCAAGGGGATGATTAAACCACACAGTTTTGGGGGTAAAAGCAGTCCAAGGAGGGCTCCACAGGTCAGGGACTCCCCATCATTCATTAGCTTTTCCCCAAGGGCCCCCATCCCCACAGGGGGCAGGGCAGATAAAAGCACTGAGATGGTCAGGTACACCTTGGGGGAGCTTCCTCACCTGAAACTGAGGGGCTCAGTTCAGCAGTTTCTGAGCCCTGACTTCCTGGGGTGGGAGGGGTAAGAACAAGCCTAAGTCTCTGACCTCTCCTGGGAGGGGCAGAGGTGTGTACTGGTGGGAGAGGACACGAATGGGCCTTAGAGCCCTGCCCTTCCTGGGGAGAGACCTGGAGGAAAACCACTTTCCCCCAGGAATTTGTTGACGGGTGCTCTACAACCAGCCGGAGAGGAAGAGGGTGTGTTGGGAGGAGAGGACTTGGGTTGAATCTTCATCAGGGATGTGCTCAGTCGCTCAGTCGTGTCCGGCTCTTTGCGGCCCCATGGACTGCAGCCCGCCAGTCCTTTACCCGCGGGATTCTTCAGGCAAGAATCCTGGAGTGGGTTGCCATTCATTCCTCCAGGGGGTCTTCCTGACCCAGGGATCGAACCCACATCTCTTGCATCTCCTGCATTGCAGGCAGGTTCTTTACCATGAGCACCACCCGGGAAGGGAAGCCAGTCTGTCAGGACCACCCCACCTTTCAGACAAGGTCTAGTTTCCGGAACAACCCACAAAACTCAAATGGGATTTTTATTGTTAAAAAAGAGTGGGGGGACGGGGGAAGGTGGAAGCGACTGCTAAGTAACAAAACTAGATTCCTTCCCACCCCCTAGCCACAGTAAGTGAAATGCCCATCGGGCCCTTCCCCAACCATCCAGCTGGCCCTTGCCCCAGATGTGGGCCCAGGAGCCCTATCCCTCTAACAGTCCCTCCCTGCTTCGCCCCCGCCCCCCATTCCTCAGGCCAGGTCTGTTTGCAGATCTGAGAACAGAGTTTCGGCAACAGGAGTCTCTGGCCAAGGAGCGCTGCCATCCAGGCCACGCCTCCTGGGCTCAGCTCCCCTTCCCAGTGGCACTGAAGGCATGGAAGTGTGGGGGGCAGGCACCCCCACGACTGCTGGGCCCCAGGGGCCCCAGCCTTCCGAGACCCAGAACTCCTGATGCCAGGTCACCCCCATCCGCCCAGCCTCCGTCTCCCTGTCCTGCCATGCCCCATCAAGCCTCGGTGGGCAGGCAGGGCCCCTCAGTTGCGCCGCAAGTGTCCATCTTTGCTTTGGGTGCTTGTGCCATGGGGCAGGCGGGGCACCCGAGTAACCCGTCCGGGAACGTCCGCTGGGCTGGAGGGGGCAGCAACGGCGGAGAGGTCCTCAGGGCCTGCGGTGGGGAAGGGCCAGGAGCTGTGCTTTAAGGCGTGCCTCTCCATGCCCCTCTTGTCACCCACAGTGGCTCTGAACTCCCTCGGGGCACCACCCCAAGAAGCCAGTCCCATAACAGTCTTCAGGAACCCAGTTTCCAGCAAGGGGCAGCCACAGGGGCAGGGAGCTCAACCAGCCTCCTCCCTGGCCTGGCCAGGGCTCCCCTCTCCCCCTTGCTATTCCCCACCCCCGACACACTTGCTGGTACTCACCTGAGTTCTGGCAAGGAGGGAGTTTGACGTTGGCCATAGGCAGCGTGGCCTTTCCCTGGTGCCGGATGCTAGGGGTTAGGTGCCCAAGCACTGGCATCCTCTGGTCTGAGATGTTACTCTCCACGGGACGGGGCCCAGCGATGTGCGTCTTGGGGTGGGACAGCTGCGTTGGCTGGAGAGCCAGATGAGCTGGGAGCTGCGTGGGGATCTGATACAAGGAGATGTTAGGTTCACTTGGGGGACACGCCATGGAGGGTGGTGCAGAGCTAGGGGTACCCTGGGGCCTCTGGAGGAATCTAGCCTTCAGAACCCAGCAAGGAGGGGGCCCAGACACCCCCAGCTCCTGTCCCCCTAGGTTTACCCCTTGTCCCGTGACTTCAAAAGACTGGGACTTCCGCTTCCTCTTTGCCTCCAGAGACTCCTCTCGTTTCTTGCTTAGGCTTTTCTTCTGGCCTGGCAGCGCGGGACAGGGGCCATCGCCATGACGTTCGACTGCCTGGGATGGCGCCTCGCCCGTGCTGCTGGACAGGCTGTCCTCACTGGCAGCGTGCTGGAGGGTGGGGCTGGGCAGCCGCTTGCAGGCCAGCGGTCTGGGTGGCCGCACGTCATCAGTCTCGCCCAGCGAGTGCAGAGACAGGCTGCTGTGCTTCATGGTGGGTGCGAGCAGCTGGCGCCCCTCGGCCCCCATGGCCTGCGAGCGGCGCCGGGCAGCCTTCACGGAGATGCTCTTCGTGTCACTCACTATCTCCTTCCTCCCTGCGGTGGGACAGAGGGGCACCCAGCCCGGGATCAAGGCCACATTTTCCTCCCCCTCCTGCACCTCAAACACGGCTTCTCTGCCGCAGCTCACCCCGACTTGCTCGCTGTGTGAGAAACTTTGGGCAAGTTTCTTAGCTTTCTTTTCATCTGTGACGATGGTAAAACTAACCCCAGTGGGTTGTGAAGATTTTTTTTTGACCACGACACACGGCATGTGGGATCTTAGTTCCCTGATTGGGGATCTAACCTTCACCCGCTGCAGTGGAAGTGCTGAGTCTTAACCACTGGACTGCCAGGGAAGTCCCAGGTTTTGAGGATGGATTAGCTGAGATAATGGGGGTCGCCTATGGCCACAGGGTAGGGAGGATTCGGACTCTATTTGCTATTACAATTATTTCTGAGTGGGAAGCGGGGGGCGTGATCCCAAGTGCCATGTGTTCCCTATTCTGGTTTCCGATTGTGTCCCCTGCTCTGTCCACACAGAGCAAGTGGTTACTCTTCTCTGGGCATTGGTGCCTCTCTTTCTAGAATGATGCCTGGGTGTGTTCAGCAGCAGAGAGGGAAGGAAGGGGCTTCGGGCTGGGTGCTCTGAGCTATTGAGATGATGCCAGGCTCAGGCTGATGGGGGATGGGGGGAGGCAGGGGACACACCTTTGCGGGACAAGGGGATCTCCGACACATTCTCGATGCTTTCAGGGGAGGAGTTGATCTGGCCGTTCAGACCAACCTGAGTGGCGACCTGTGAGATGAATGGGTTGGGAAGAGAAGCCATTGGACCCAGCAGGGGCCCTATGTCCTCAGAGGGCTGTTTTGGAAAAGTTGCATCCCAACCACTGGGTGTCCCCCCCGCCCCTTACTCCCACCACATCAGGGGAGCCCGGGGGCCCATGGGGCCCACTGCTCACCTCCTGTGTCACCAGGTTGCCGGCCGGGATAGGGGGTGGGGTGGGCACAGAGGAGCCCTTCGCTTGCCAAGCCCGGGAGCTGGCCTTGAACATGTGGTTGGCTTCACTGAGGTCAGCAGAGGAGGATGGGCAGCTGTTGACCAGGCTGGTACCACGGGGTCCCACCCCTACCCCTCCTGAGAACTGCTGCATTGTGGGAACGAGGACCCCAAAGTCCTGGCTCCAGACCTGTGCCCCCTCCCCTCTTTCCGTTCCTGCTCCAGTCTCCCTGGGAAGCCAGGTCTGGGCTGGCATCTCTGAGACACAGCCTGGTGGCTCAGGGGGGCCAGAAGTGGTCCTTGGGCTCACCTCTCAGTGCTGAGCAGAGGGAGGAAGCTCTTGTGTTGGTGCGGGGACTCGGAGCTCGGCATCTTGACATTCTCTAGGTCAGACTCCTCCGGGGTCGGCACGGTTCCTGGGGGGCTAATCTTGGGCAAGGCGCTGTCCTGGGGAGGGGAAAGGAGGGAGAGGGGACTCGGAAGACTTGGTCTCAGACTGAGCAAACAGCCTGGGTGACAGGCACACAGTCTGGGGCTGTAATCTGGGCTGGCAGCCGCAGAAGACAGGGGGGCTTGTGTTCTGAGTCCCCAGGGGCCGGCTGTGGTCTGCTAGGCATTCCCAGTGGCACCGCCTGGTGGCCTGGTCTCCTGGGAGGGCATCCGGGTCCTTAGTGATATCTCAGATTGCCAGCCCTGATCCTCAGACCCTGGATGGGGCACGTGCCAGAGAACACCACGGGAGGGGAGCTTGGCAAGGCTTTGGGGCGGATAAGTAGGAGGAGGAGTCAGCTTTCCGGGGACCAGCTGGCCCGGTCCGAGGCCACCCTAGCTCCTGGCAGGCGCCGCCTTGGACATCAGCCCCGCCCTTGGCGCAAGTGCTCATGGTCCCGCCCGGGCGCCCACCTGCAAGGCCCGAGAGGCCAGGCGGTCCATCATGGTGGCGCGCTCCAGGTTGCCCTCCTCCTGCTCCCTCCGGTACACGTCATACAGCTCCTCCAGGTGCTGCGGGACGGCCAGGTTGCAGTCTGCGGTGGGGGGGTGGAGAGGCAGGGCTCAGCGCGCGCTCTCGGGCCCTCTGCGGGTCGGACACGCGGGGCGGGGGCCCTACCCTGGATGAGCTGCCGCTGGGCGCGGATGATCTCCTCGCAGAGGCTGCGGCGCTGCTCCAGGCGGCGCAGGGCCTCGCGGCGGTGGCGGAGCGCGCCGTCGCGGAGCAGGGCGTGCGACTGCATCTCGGCGTTCTCCAGCTCCAGCTCGTGCACGCGGCAGAGCAGGCCGAGCGCCTCGCGCTGCTCCTCCGAGCTGACGCGCCGCGGCAGCGTCTCCTCCAGGCGGCGGCCTCGCGCGCGCAGCTCTCGGCACCGCTGCTCCAGCGCCAGCTGGGGAGCCGAGCGGGCGGTCAGCACCAGGTGACCGGCGAGGGACCACCCGCGCCCGCCGCTGAGCGGGTCCTCACCCGTCCAAGCCCCCGGACGCTGGGCGCCAGGCTGAAGCCCCACTCCGAGGCCTCCTTTTCGAAGCTGTGTCTCGAACT